TTCCTTTGTAGGTGATTTGTTTCTTTTCTCTAACTGCCTGTAGAATTTTGTTCTTCTGTTGGATTTCTGGGATCTTGACTATTATGTCTAGGTGTAAATTTTTTTTGGTCATGGCTAGTTGGAGTTCTATATCCCTCACTTATCTGTATGTGTAATTCTCCACCTCTGTCTGGGAAGTTTTCTACTTTTGCTTCTGTGAACAGTTTGTTTTATATCAATTGTACTTTCTCCTGTTTTTTCATGGACTCCTATAAGTCTTAAGTTATTCTTCTTTGCATCATCTAACAGCTATTGGATTGATTTCTCATGTTCCCTTACTATCTATAAGAAATCTCTGTTTTCATGGTCCTTAACCACAATCCTGTCTTCTATATCTGATATTCTGTCTTCAGATTCTCTTAGTCTGCTCTGCTTGCTTTCAATGGAGTTTTTAATCTCTTGAATATCTGTTTGAATCTGTTTCATGGATTCCATTTCTTATGTTGGGTGATCATGGTTTCCATTTCTTTCTTATTCTGGGCATTCATGGCTTCCAGCATGTTTCTGATCTCATCTATTTTCTTATCTGTTTCTGCTCTAGATAATCTAATCATGTCTTTCACTCTGTTTACCATCTCTGCATTTATCTGGGAGATTACTTCTACTTTGAATTTTTCTAGAGCCTCATGCATCCTGCTTTGTACTTCCTGTGCTATCAGTTCAGGGTGTCCAGGTGGTTGATTATCAAACTTTTCCACCTCATTTCCCCCAGAATTTCCCTTTTGTGGGGTGGAAGCCTGCCTTTGTGCCTTGTTTAAATGTCTTCTCATTTTTGTTTTTGGTACTGTCCTTGGTTTAATTCCTGGTTTGATATTTCAAAATTGCTTAATGTAGGTATCTTTGCTGCTTGTGTTTAAAACCCTTATGGAATGATTGCTTTTCAGAGGTGTCTTCCAGATATAGCTTGTGTTTAGGTTTTGAGACTCTAATGACTCTGAGGATATTTTATTTTCATTATACCAGGAAGGAAAACTGATTAGGTCAATCACAACATGTTAGCCCAAATGATACAATCAGCAATACCATAGCATCAAGTGCAGCTTAGAAAATGGCAATTTGTGGTAGTTATTAATCTATCACATTTAACTATGTGAATTAAATCAAAACTGAGGACCAACCCAATAAATGTTTATAGTGAATAAACTCTTCAATATAGCATCTTTCCCCTTTCGGGTGGGGAGTTAAAAGGAGTTGGGGAGGGAGGGACAGGTAGAAAGATCAGGAAAGATTAGCAGTGAGGCCAGAAGACAAAGGAAGATCATACAAACTCTAAGAAATTGTTAAAGGCAAGAGGAAAAAGCAGAATGAAAGAACAAAGATGTGAACGGAATCACCTAACAGCAATAGGGAGGCTAGATACTGTATTTACTTTCCTTTAAAACTAATGATAATCAAGAGAAGGAAAAAGAGAAGAAAAGAAAAATAAATAAGAAATCTGAATTCAGTGCAGAAAGGAACAAATAGGGAGATGAAGAGCAATGTGGGACAGCAATGCGGGGGGAGAGTGAGAGAGAGAAGGATAAAAGAAAGAAAAGAAAGAAAAGTAAAAATTTGAAAAGAGTAGAAAAAAGTAAAAATTAAGAATTTAAGAGAAAAAATTTTTTTTCTTTTTTGCAAATAGCAAAAAATAAAAATGATGGACCTCCTTCAGGGTATGCCTCTGCTGTCACAGTAGACAATGTAGGCATCCATGTGCATATACAAGTCAATGAGTCTCAGCAAGCCAGCAGCAGACCTGTGAGATTCAGGCAGATTTCTGGCTGCTAGTTACAAGTTGAGCTCCCTGTCCTCCTGCAGGGTTGAACTCTGCAGAGTTCTACTGCAGGTTCCAGTTTCCCTTCCCCTGAAGATAGTGCAGGTTTTGATGGGAGGTAATGGTCCCAGGTGATGGATGATCTCTCCAACTTACCAAGTATGGTGGTCTGATGTGCCTTTATTGTAGAGATTCTCTTTACTTTTCCGCAGAGCTTCAGTTTTCATCAAGGAGCCTGAGAAGCCCTCTTTCTGTTACTAACTTCTGCTCTATCTTGTGGCGCTCAGGACAAGGGCCTTTATAATCCCCTGTGCCTCTGTAGTGTGGCACCAGGTTGCAGAAGAGCCAGAAGGCCAGAGGCGGGGGGTGGTGGGAGTGGGACTGGACCTTGCAGGTGCCCATGCCTCTAAGCATAGCACTGAATGGGGCCGGGGCTCCAAGCTGTGCCTCAGACCTCACTGTGGCATGGGCGGGGCCCAGGACGGAGCAGGGGGGCTTCACGCTGCTTGGCTCCCCCGCTTGTTCTGGCTGGTCACGCCAAGCAGCAATAAATGGTGTCTTTAGAAGAATGACACTGAATTTTCTCAAGTCTGAAAGTGGTGACTTGCAAAACACCTTAGAACTAATTATGGCTCACTAACATGTGACAGCTCCAGGGCTGAGCACCTTACACAAGTGAGGCATCTGTGGCTAGACACCAACCCACAGGCTGACAGTGATGCATATGCCTGGGTGCTCCCAAATCTAGCAAAAGAGAATGGTGCTTGTGACCAGAAATCATGGCTCAGAAAGACCCTACCAGGGCTTTGAGTGGGAAGAGGGAACTATATCATAGAGAAGGCAGGGGCACCCCCACAAGCAAAGACTCAGCTCAGACAGAATTGCAGTGTTCAAATTATAACCAAAGGTATCCTATGCTGAACACCTTGTAAATGCTAGAAATGTTACACAAATTGGGTGTCCCTAACCTGGAAATCTGAAATACAAAAGACTCCAGAACCCAAAATTTTGACTTTTTGAGCCACACCTGGCTTCATGTGACAGATCATAGTCAACATACAGGTACATTAAAAATATTGTAAAACATGACCTTCAGACCATTTCTATAAGGTATGTATGAAACATAAGGGAATTTCATGTTTAAACTTGGGTTCCACCCTCAAGGTATCTCATTATGTATAAATTGGCAAATATTCCAAAATCCAAAATATTTCAAATCTGAAACACTTCTGGTCCTAAGGATTCCAGAGAAGGGATACTCAACTGTATTGTCACTTAAACCTCAGATAGGTGGATATTAATTTCTCCATTATTTTAAGTGAAGTATAGATGGAGGATATGACTTTGGATCCAAGGTTGTATCTGGAGTTTGTACTTGAGCTGGAATGTGACATTCCACAAAGCCTTTCAAAGATCCCATATAGCCTTGGAGAAGTAAGAATCATGGCTGTGAAAGGCTGACTTCCTCCAGACAGGTTATGCTATTGCGATAATGACTCCAAAATGTCAATGGCTTAGCCTTAGCGGCTTAACCCAGGCAGAGAGGTGAGTTGTGGCTTCCGCCTAGTATGCTGCAGATCAATGAAGTGGAGGGAAATGAGACTAGATTATCCCACATCTATCCTGCGGGGAAAGGTAACACAAGTCACATTGTCAAGCCTGTTGACAATAGGGCAGGCACATATGAACCTCCCACTAGGAGAAGAAACCACTAATTATGTAAAATAATGCAATTTTCCACAAGAAATTAATATGATAGTGAGTGATTACCTGTGGGATTGGATTGTGGAAACTGGATGGATGGCAAGAGGAATAAGAGGGCATTTTTTCACTTTGCACATACATACATTTGAATTATGTGTATAATACTATCTATTCAGAAAAGTAAATCATTGTTGTCAGGTAAAATAAAATGAAAATATGTCTACTCCCCTTACCTATGACATAAACTGTGAATATATAGTCTGAATCCATATATATGTTCTTGCCACTTTATTGATAATAATTCTAAATAATTACGAAACAGAAGGGTGTCGGGATTAGTAACTCACAGTTTTTCACGTTCATTCAAAGAAGACTAAATGCTAGGGGGACACAGGAAGGAACAAAGGTCTGTATCAGCTTGAGGAACCTCAGTAAGGAGTATGATAAGCACATAAGCCTTTCCCAAGAATGGGATACCAGGGGCTCAGGATGCAGTGGGTAGATAATGAACCCACAGGTAAGGAGAAGATGAATAAGGCTCATGGGATAGGTGAAATCTGCAGAGGAGGAAAGACAGTAACTGAAAAACTGAGCTCCAAGGTTGAAAGCGAAAAGTATGCATCATGGGAAGGTAAAGGAAGTAAAGTTCAGGATGAATTAGGGAGTAGTTCAAGCCCAAACACAAGAACAGCAAAAGGAGCCAGCACCTGAGTATTGAGGATATTAGATCAAGGAGTAGGCAGTCCAAGGGCTGAAAGTTACTGGTACAAACTAGCTGGGTCGCACAGAGCCTGAACTACCCTTAGTAAGGCCTGGGCATCAAGAACACTGTGACTGGGCTTTCAGAATTCCATTCTGTGACTCAGGCCAATATTACCAATATTACCTCGGAAAAACTCACGTGGAAGGTCCAGATGTCCACTACAGAGTAGCAGGAATTGTTTGAAAGATTAGAAATGGTTATTTGTGTGCACAACTGCTTCACTGGCAGATGTTCTGGATATTTCTGTGGTGGCCTTGGTGGCCTTTTCATGGGGCTGTAGAGCTTCCAGGGAACTCTTGTCTATCACTCACCATTCTCTCCTGCAATACCCACTTTTGTCTTCCAGTATCACTTCAACCCCTCACAGTCTATCCTAGTGATGGAAGGAGATGACATTGGGAACGTCAACCGTGCCCTACAGAAGGTCTCCTACATCAACTCCAGGCAGTTCCCGACAGCAGGCGTGCGACGCCTCAGAGTCTCCTCCAAAGTCCAGTGAGTAGATGTCAGTCAGCCTAGGCTCTGCCTGAGGCAGCAGGGATAACTCACTGGGAAATCTCCCTTACAAAGCAGGATTGAACTGGACTTCACTGTTATCCTAAGAAAGATGCCAGAATAAATTTGTGTTCCCTTTTGGCTTTCTTAAGGAAAATGTTGTGATGTCTGTCCAGCTCAAATATACCGTTCTCTGTTTTATTCTGTTTGAGAATTCTATAGATTCTTTAAAAGCTGGCCTTGAGTCAGCCTAATTTAAGGGCATACCACCTGGTGCAAAGAGGATAGGTGCTTGAGAAATGTTTATTAAACTGAATTAAACTATCCAACCCAACTTTACAGAGTTCCTAAATACTGTACGTAAGCCAGAGAAAGAGAGGGCCTGGTTCTTGTTCCCAGGGAACAGAGTTGAGCTAAGGAGATGAGATTACTACTAAAGCCTCAATATAATTCACCCACTGGGCTATCACATCATTTTCTAGCCACAGCTGCTGCCTGGGAAGACTGCTAGGAAGGGAACGCCAGAAAGACCTCAGGAGGTGGAGTCCCCAGGTACCTAGAACAGGAAAACTCAGAAAGAGAGGAACAGCCTGGGAAAGATGTATCTGTTTACTGCCACACGGCTGAGTCCTGGGAGAGGTGCCAGCAAGGACAGTTATATTCCACAGGGCAATGGAAGGGGCGCTCCCACTTTCAGAAGCCTAGATGTAAGGAACAGGCACTTCTGAGTTAGCTCCACGTTAGAGCAAAGAAAGGTGATAGACTGGCCAGTGCCCAGCTTTGAGACCAGGCTTCTGTAAGCTTCAAGGGAAGTGGAGCCCACTGGGGTTGGTATGGCTGAGGTAACACAAATCTGCAAGCAGGAACCCACCACAGGTCCTGCATCTTGTCCACTCCACAAAAGAGGATGAGGAGGCTCAGCACAAGACCCCCCCAGACTCCTTCCCTCTGACCATCCCAAAGCATGCAAGATGACAGCTGCCCCCAGAGTGATGCAGCCAGAATTCCCACCGTGCCTGTTTGGCCCAAGGTTTCCCATCCCCAGTGTTGGCCTCAATGACAGTGGAATGTATCACTGACACATGGGTCCAAGGAGTTCTGATGACACAGTCAGATCAACTAACCTTTACTGAACTGAAATCGTGATGTGGGCACTGGATAGCTTCTTTTCTGGAGTCTTAATCCTTACTACTATAGAGTAATTTTTTTGGCGGGGGAGGATGAGACATTCTCATTATGTAGTTCACACTGGCTTTGAACTCACTGTGTAGCCTAGGCTGGCCTTGAACTCGCAGCAATCCTCCTGCCTCAGCCTTCCAAGTGCTGGGATTGCAGGCATGCACTACCATGCCCACCTTAGTGTAAAATTATTATTATCCCATTTTATAGATGAAGAGACTGAGATTCACAGCGATTGAGCACCCTCTGTCCACCTCCTGTCCACCCTCTGTCTGCCAGCTCAGGAGTGGCAGAGCTAGGCCGTGGATCCTTGGCTAACTTCTCAGGCTTTGTTCTTGTTGTCATATCACTGCTGCCTCTGGATGCTTTTTTGGCCTTGTACTAGGGGAAAGGAGGGTAATTGCAATGGAACTGTGCCCCTGCCCCTAGAGGAGTCACACTGGTGTGATTCTCCCTTAGTGACACAGTGTATACACTGTGGCAGGAGAGTTTACCCCTGAAGTCTCATTTAGAAAGATAGTAACCAACCAGTTAGACAACAATTTGCTTACCAAATACTAATGGACATAACAACCAGTTGCTATCTAATTAATGTTGTCATTGATTGCTTTATTAAAAGATAATGAAAGCTTTAACTTTACTTGTTACTCACATACAAAATTCCCATTCCTTCCAGGAGCCAGTCTTTTAAGTCCCTACATCACTAGTAGTTTGGATTATAATGTGGCTTTAAATCCAAAGCTCTCTTGACATCCTCAGAGACTCATAGCAGTCAGAATGCTTTGTCCAGGACTAGAAGTGGCAACTCCTTGTCCTGAGGCTAGGTTGCAGACAGCTTAACCCTTTGCTTCCCAGTGTGGTGACTGAAGCTGTCTTCCCAGGTGCTTTGGGGAAGACGTGTGCATCAGCATCCCCGATGTGGATGCCTATGTGATGGTCCTGCAAGCCATGGAGCCCCAGATCACTTTGCAGGGCACAGATCACCTATGGAGACAAGCTGCCCAATTCGAAAGTGCCAGAGGTGTGGTCCTCTTCCAGGATATCAAAATTGTGAGCACCTTTGCCAAACCTGAGGCCACTGGGGACATGAAAACCACAGGTACAGGTGGGGGTTGTGGGAAAGGTGTGCCTTAACTTCTTACAGCAATGCAAATCATACAGGGGACAATAGCATTGTTTTCTGTGACAGGGTAATATATAACAGCAAAACAAGCAAAGCTGGAACAATCAAAATGAACAACAGCAGAGCAATAGATAGCTTACCAAATTAGGATGTACACATATAAGTGATACATGGTCAAAAGGAAGACATTTTTTTCTAAAGTGAAAAAAAGTGAGATGCATAAATACATAGTATCTACATACAGCATGAGCTCAACTATGTAAGAAGAAAAAAGCCAAAAAGGAAAGATGCCTAATGCTACAGTGCTATTCTCTGAGAAGGATAGGCAAAGCCAATCATCTGTTTCTGCTTCCCTTCCCTCTTCTGCAATTGCAAATAAATGTCATATATTGAGCATATATTATCTTGATCATCAAAAGAAAAGCTAAAAGGTACATAAAGAACAAAATATAGATACTTCTTAATGTATACACAGCAAAAGGTAGGTCTCATTCAGCAATATTACTCTAAGCTCTCTGGAAATTTTCAAGTTGTTATTTCTAACAGTTTCATTTTTGGAAGGGTTGCTTAGGGAAACAGTAATTTAAATTATCTGCCAAGGAGAAACAGTTACACTGAAAGCCACAGGAGATGCTGGGGGAAGAGGAAGGAAAGGAGAGGAAGAGGGAAAAGAGGAGGAAATGTCCATTTGAAAATTGTTCTTTGCTACCTCTTCTAAGAAAACACTTTCGACTTGCCTTCACCCCCTCCAAAAGCCATTGCTAATGATGTGCTGGGCCAGTAGACCTAAGTCCCTAAATATCTGCTTCTATAATAATCCTAATTACCCACTGCCTTAAACCACACTGGTCCCTAGTTAGTAGGGCACTTGAGAGGCAGCCCTCCTGAGCTTATAAAAATAAATGGTGTTTCACCACCTATCTGGGCAGGGCGGTTTCCTAATTACACCCCAAGGTGAATTAGGACGTGTGATCTTCCTGCTTCCCCACTCTCATTTGTGGCTACAATCAGATGGAAAAAGGAAGCCCCGTTGACCTCCATGGTTGCAGCCCAGGAGCATCTGGAATTGCTTCATCTGATACCAGCATATGGGGAATACAGAGAAAGCAATTATCTGGGTCCACACTTCACCTTCTATTTATGAGAGGTGCATGCAGATCACATGAGCAAGTGCCTGGGAGCTATTATTAGTATTATTTAAATTTCCCTCTTATTGTTGTTGGGATAATTATTATTATGGGTATCTTAAACAAGCAGGCTAGTGGCATTTGCTACTGGATCTCAGTGACTGGCTCCAGCACCATCTTCTGTGCCCAATGATTTGCTCTTTCTGTTATCTCAGTTGCAAAGACAGACACACACTCATGCACACACACACACTCATGCACATGCACACACACTTCCATATACACATCTACACACATATACACACACATACATCCTCTCTCAAGCCTGTGCTAGTCCATACTTTTTCTCCTCTCTGCCTGGAAGGTCCTTTTCCTTCCTTTTCCATCTCCCTTTAATGGGGCAAACCTCTCTGCCTTCAATGCCATCTCCAGAAGGCTCTGCCTACCACCACCTGACCCCCAGGCTGGGCTGGTCTCCTGCTCTGCCCTCTGTAGCTCTGCTGCTTCCCTCTAGCGCACAACATTTTTCAGCCCTTTGTGATGATTGCTTGTCTATGAAACCAGACAGGAGCTCCCTGAGGGCTCAACCATGGCTGATTTGCTTCTGGATTCCTGAGCCCAGCAGCCCCTTCAACACAGTGGAATCAAGAAACCTGTAGATGGAAGATAGTACCATAGCACAAGTGAAGAGAAGAATGAGGAAAGGCAGCCAGGACATGTCCCTACCTAGTACTAGCTCTGTCAGTCACATCAGAAGATAGGAGCAAAGTGATTTAACGCCTCCTAAGGAGAATCTGACAAACCCCCAAGCACTACATGAAGCTCATCTGAAATTACACTTATGCTACTGTTAATGACAGACAGACCTTGTGTTTAGTTTATATTATTGTGTTTTTAGATCTTGCTAATGATGCAGGAAACAATTGTGGTTGATAAACAGTTAAAATTAAGCATATAGAAATTATTTATAATAGTATATAATGAGAGCCAAAGTATTTTGGTATCACTGAAAAAGCTAAACAAAATAAACTAATTATTTAAGATAATTCTCACATTCTTGAGTCCTTTTAAATTTTTATTTTCATAATTGTTTTACAATGCAAAAGATATATTCAGTCCACTTTATAAATAAGTAAATATACTTATGTAAATAATCTTGGTGCACAAATCTTTCAATAAAGAGGTTCATGATCAAGAACATTGGAAGATCACAGGCCTAGAGATCACAAGTGTCCAAACTCTGATATTAGAAAAAGTGATTTCTCTCCTGGCTCCTCCTCTCACTTTCTATGCAGCGTTGGGCACCTCACTTTCCTGTTAACTTCCACTTCCCCATTGGTGAGATGGGAATAATTATAGTACCCTCTGTAATGTCTGTCCATTAGGATTGTATTTGCACAGTACCTGGCATATACCACACACCACGTAAATACCAAAACCTGCATCTTGAGGATGAGATTTTAATTTAGGATTGCTCAACTCTGCCCAACATTCTAATACTCAGACATTCCTTTCAGAAATTTGGAGTTATAAATCAGGCAAAGACCATTACATCGACCAACTTGCTAATATGCCTTCCTGGGAGCATATTAACTAGTGTATCAATTATTAGTTAATTATTGGTTCTATCGTGTTGACTTAATTAGTTATTAATTAATGATCCAGCTGTACTTGAGCAATGTACAGTGATAACTGCTCCATGGCAACTCCTGTGTCAGGCACTAAGGATTTGCTCAGGTGCCTCTGCCCTTGAGAGCTCCAGAGCCTGATGGGGACACAGATACACACAGTGACCACAGAAGAAAGCTATGAGCGCATGATGGGAGGCCACTTAGCTCTCCACTAAGTGAGAGCTGTTGCTTATGATACATTTACCCGGAATGGAACAGTGTTTTCAATACTCTCGAGACTTGCTCTCTCTGTAGGTTAGAAAATGGGATTTTTGTAGCTTCTCAGTAGCAGGTCTGTGTTCAAATTCATAGCCTTCTTTTTTTTTGTAAGCAACACTGAGGATTGAACCCAGAGCCTATTCACTTTGCATTGAGCTACATCCCCAGCCCTTCTATTTTTTATTTTTGAGACAGAATCTCATGAAGTAGCTAAGTTGTCCAGGCTGGGCTCAAACTCAAAATCTTCCTGCCTCAGCCTGCCACAGAGCTGGGGTTACAGGCATGCACCACCACACGCAGTTAAGGTCATATCTTTTGACTGTAGTATTCATACTCTTCCCACTAATTCATGCCACCCAGCCTCAGGGCTGCCTGACATTTTAGCAGTGGGCATGGTATTCAGGATTGCAGTCATCTTCTCTTGACTTTAACCTGGGTGTAGTAACAGAGGAGACAGGTGATGAGCGAGGACTATTTTCTAAGTTGCTCTTCATGTCTGTTTCCCACGCATCTACCTTCCCACAGCCCCCAAATCATCAGTCTTAGAAGAAATGCTTCACAACTTGGATTTTTGTGACATTCTGGTGCTTGGAGGGGACCTGGACCCGAGACAGGAGTGCTTGGAACTCAACCACAGTGAGCTCCACCAAAGGCATCTGGATGCCACAAACTCTACTGCAGGCTACTCCATCTATGGTAAGGTCCCTCTACCCAGCGGTGTCCTCTCAGCATGGCCTTCTCCAGGAGCTTTGAATACAATGGCACCTGCAGCAGTGCAGTGTGAATCCCCAGTCATCAGAGACCCTTGATCTCAGGACATAGGTTTCTAGACTTTGGAGAGTTCCTCCAGCATTTGGGGGACCGGCCTACATCTCCACTCTTAGGGAAATCTGTAGAAGCTTCTGTTATAATGTTTGATCTCAGAAAATATTACACAATGTGGCAGATTGAGGACAAACATTCCAGTCAGAGACCCCCGTCTGTATGGAAATCCTGTGGATCAATTTAATTGGCTCCTTAGAACTGCAGCTTTTACACAAAATCTACCCATAAACTACTCAAGCTACTACTGCACAAAACTCCCAAGCCCCAATAGCCCTAGCCTGACTCCCCCATCTCCTTTTCCTTTTCTTCCTGTTCCACCTGATGATAGCATGATCTCTTGGCACAGGTGTGGGCTCCATGAGCTGCTACGAGCAGGTGCTGCGTCACATCTACTACCGCAACTGGCACCCGAGCTCCCTTGAGGGCAGGCGGTTCCGAATCAAGTGTTCAGAACTCAATGGGCGCTACACTAGCAATGAGTTCAACTTGGAGGTGAGTGAGTCCTGCCATTGTTAGGGAAGCCCTGCCTCACCTGTTCATTCACTCACTCTTTCAAGAGAGCTATTTCAGCTGGCCTGCCTGGCACTCCTGGTCAATAGCACCTCTCCTTGCTCTTTCCAGGTCAGTGTGCTACATGAAGTCAGAGTACCAGACAAGGAGCATGTCAACCACCTTATCGTGCAGCCTCCTTTCCTCCAGTCTGCCCATCACCCTGAATCCCGGAGTAGCATCCAGCGCACTTCAGGTAGGGCATCTAAGAGGAAGGATCTCAGGATACAGGTGGTCATTGTGATTCAAGATTATCCACTAAAGAGACAGATATGTTGCAGCAGCCATCGGTGCTCAGAACTGAGGGGATTCTGCAAAGGAGAAGGCATAAGCCCTGCCTCTGAGGCACTTTTAGCTTCAACAGGGAATCAGTGAACTAAGCAAGAAGTTACACATGATACAAATGGCCAGCACATTAGAGACAGTTCTTTCAGGCCCAGGACATAGTCATGTCCTGTATGAAGCTTTCCACAGACCCCTTATATACACACATGTGGACCCTATTGCCAAGTCTTCTACTCATACTTCTGTTTTGGTACTTGTTGTATTATGTCATCAAATATGGCATTTGTGTCTGTTCCTACTACACTTTACAATGCCAGGCTTTCAGTGGGATCTCTCCTATTGTTTGAGGGGAAAATCCAGAGATAGAAGAGAATATGCATTTGCTGAACACCCACTCTGTGCTTATGCAGAAACTAAAATAGATTATTTTATTTATTCCTCACAATTACCTGTAAATAAGAATTATTAGATCTATTATATAGAGGATGAAAGTGTGACCTAGGCAAGCTGAGGTGCTGACCCTAAGTCCTACCGCTGGGAAGTGGAAAGGCAGATTTTATCCTTCACGTGGATATTTTGTTCATGTGTCATCATAAGAATGAGGTAAAGCTTTGTTCATCATGTCATGTGGGTTCCTTCCTTGTTCCAGTGGTCCCAAGCATCGCCACGGTTGTCATCATCATCTCCGTGTGCATGCTAGTGTTTGTTGTGGCCATGGGTGTGTACCGAGTTCGGATTGCCCACCAGCACTTCATCCAAGAGACTGAGGCTGCCAAGGAGGCCGAAATGGATTGGGATGATTCTGCACTGACTATCACCGTCAACCCCATGGAGGTGATCCTCATGTTGGGCTGGGGGGTCAGGGTGGGGTGCGTCTCCCTCTACCCAGCTCAATTCTTCCTGTGTGAAAGCCTTCTCCAGCACCCCTCTCAGTCCATCTTAGGCCCTCCTAGTCCATCACTATCTTCCTGTCTCTAAGCTTCTGCAACCTTCTCAACATGAACAGACCATATTTTCCCATCGACTACATTCCGTGATTAAAAATGTGTGAATTGCTCTCACCCCATGAACAAAACCAGAAATTTCTTAAAGCAAGCAGCCATGTGGTATCTTATTCCTTGCCTCCTGCATAGTTCAGAGCTGACCAACACTTCGGAACTCAGTATTGAAATCTTTATTAACAGTGCAAATGAGATGGCTTTACTCCATATAGCATACAGAGCTCACTTCAAGGCTCAGTTTAGGTTGAAACAAAAATGCAAGCAACACTTACCACTTCTTAAGCCCCCATTATGCCAGACTGTACAGTGTGCTGTATATATGCCAACAACCTGTGAACTAGGAGTCGTCATCCTCATTTACCAAGGTAGGAACCAACTGAGAGAAGTGCTCAAATACACACCACCAGTATTCAAACTCAAGACTGTAATTCTAAAGTTTATATCTTTTCAGTTATCCAATAGCTCCTGGAAGCCACCCACGATTTGCAAGGCACCTTCTTGGAAACTGACTATCAAGGAAAGTCATGGACATCGTGCTCTTTGCCCACAGGCACTGAGTAATGGCAGACACAAGCTTAAGGAAGCAGGGGGAGATCAGTCATTGGGAAATAACCAGGATCATTCTAGCCTGGTCCCAGTTCTCCCTCAGCTGGTCTCATCCTCTGATTTCAAAGCCAGATCACCAATATGTCTCATTTTCTCTAAGCATGTGCTGTAGGTACAGTGCTGAGCTCACCACTGTGGAGACACCAACATTTCCATCCTCAAACACCTGAACCTTGAGTATGGAAAATGAAGAGCAGGCTGAGGACCAGGCAGTATCAAGCCTAACAGGGGTCAGCCTGATAGTGTTGGGAGTTAGGGAGGCTTGAGTAAAAAGAACCTTTGGGGAAGAAACAGCCCTGGGGTAGTTTGACCTAAGGGAAGCCTTAAAGACTTGGTTTATTATGAAGGAGGAAAAGGTAAAATAGAAGCCATTTTAGTAAGGGAGTATAGCCAAGCAAAGAGACACATCTTTTATGCCCTCACTCCCCAACTTGAAACATAAACCTAGAAAAATGATTTTGCTGGAAACACTAAAAAACTAGAAGAGGGTAGAATGGGACTGGAAAAGGTAGGATACAGTTTGAGGACACAAGTCAGGGTTCAATGGGCAGGCATAGAGAGCACAACTGTGAAGTTCTTCTTTTCCAAAGGAATATTTTCAAGGGACAGAACACTGGAGTCTTGGCTGCGAGGGCTTTCTGCTCACAGGGACATTATGTTTTCACCTGGAAAAGAAGTATAAGATTAAATGTCATTCTTTTACTAGGAAGCAAACACTTAGAGATTAGAAAGTTCCATTTAGATAGGCTCCAGAAAGGCCAGCAAACAAGCCTGGGCCTGAAAAATTCCAAAATGACTAATAGTATTGGCTTAAATGGCCACCCTATCAGGTACAAATATTTTACCTTGAGTTCACGTCTTTGAGTTTTCTCCTAAATCAAGCCCTTCTCTGTAACTTGCTGCCTTTCCTTTCACCAGAAGACCTTTCCAGAAAGTCTATCTCCCGGCCCAGGAAGTCAGCATTAAGAGAAAGGAATCCCAAGAGGGCCTAAATGTTTCGTTGATGGTGAAAACTGAGTTTCAAAGTGAGCTCTGTTCAGCCTCTGATGAGTATTTTCTTTCTCTTCCTGACATCCAGAAACATGTAGAACCAGGACACGGGGAAGATGAGACTGAGGGAGAAGAGGAGGAGGAAGAAGCAGAGGAGGACATCAGCTCCAGCAGCAGCGAGGACAACAGTGAAGGGGAGGAGGAGGAAGAGATGGGCAGAGGCAGACACGGGCAGAGCGGCACCAGGCAAGCCCAGCTGGAGTGGGATGACTCCACCCTGCCCTACTAGTGCCTGCAGGTCCACTGCCCAGCCCACGTGTCCCTTTTGTGAAGCCCGCCCGCCCCAGCGTCTGCCTGACCCTATCACACTCACCTCTCCGTGACAGCTCGGGGAGGCCTCTGCAGCTTCCTCGAGCCTGTGTGGGGGGCAGCTCCCCGAAGCTCTGTGTCATCATCAGTGGGGACTTCGGGGTGTACTTTGTCCTGTAGCGACAACTCCTCCTGCCCTGGGTTCACCCAGCATCCTGTGAGTCACTCTGCAGAGTTCTGAACACCTTCCTCTTTTCTGTGAAGGACAAGGTCCACCTTTAGGTCATTAACCTCCCCAGGCTCAGCTCTCCTGAGGCCCTTGGGCTCCAACTCCCATTGTGCATCTCTCTCCACTCATAGCAGCAGGTCCCCCCTATGCTCACTCTGTAGGTTCCTTTTTACAAGGAAGGAGGTAGAACTTCATGCATTAGGGTCTTAGGGCCACATGCTTGAATGGAAAGCCCCTGTCAAGGCAGAATTGAGTTTACAGGGAAAGATACACACACACATACTTCCCAGCTTGGAGAGCCTTCCCCTTTGCTTCTTTATGAGGCTACATATATTGACATGACAAATACAAAACCAAGGATTGGTCACTGGCCACAACCAGAGCCTATCCTCAGCCAAAGGAGCCTGCCTACCTGAGAAGCACTGAGACCCATGTGGCTGCCCTTCCCGGGGTATTCACCACACAAAACTACCAGATGTCAGGAAGCATTCCACCAGGCACTGCCCTGGTGACAGCCACACCAGGGTCACAGCCAGGAGTAGAAAGAAGGGCTGATGGATGACACAGTAGGGCCTCATAGAGGATGCAGAGCTGGGAGACAGGTGAGGGAGGCTGGGCATCCCAGGACCAAGGCAGCCCCAAGGTTGATAAGGCTCTCACAACCTCACCTCATGCTCCCTTATCTCTTGGGTTACAATGTTTTACTTTTTGTTTTTCCCCTTGGAACCAAGGATCGAACTCAGGATCTTGCGCTTCCCAGGCAAGTGTGACACCCCTGAGCTACATCCCTGGCCCTACAATGTTTTACTCTTAAGAAAACATGCCCTTCTCAAATGTATTAGAACCTATATGAATTCCACAAGTCCAAGATGAAAGTTTGGAAATCTGTTAGGAATTTGAAGCGCATTTGTAACAATGGCACTTGTTTCTTTCCTTTTCTCATAAAAGGAGGAATAGAGGGCAAATATATTCAAAACCCCAATTTCTTTTTCTTTCTTCTTTTTTCAATAAGGAAGTCTTTTCCATCTCCATTCTAACATGGACACCTTGTGAAGAGAATTGTTGCTATAGTAACTAACTAGTGGGTGATCTTTGTGGCCAAGAGAATAGCAGGCAAGAATTAAGGCTATTACAGGTCTTCAGTGAGGCTGTAAGGACATGCTTATTTCAAATGTCTTGGCTTCCTCTTTGTCCTAGAATGTACAAGCTGTCCTCATTCTCCCATTCCACCCCAAGACCATCCCATACTGGTTTGGCACAGGCACAAAGCTAGTCCCCAGCCAATGGCATGCAAGTTCAACAGAAAGTTCAGCCTCTGCTCAGTGTCTTTTCTGTGTCATCCAGTCCAAGAATTTAAGTAAGGGGACCACTACCAATGTCCTCTAGTCCAACCTCCACTCAGTAAGGATCCACAAGCGGCCTTTGCACCCTTCTGCTGGCAAGAGCTACCTTAGACAGCTCTTTCCATTCCTGAAGTGTTTTTGCATCCTTTCCCTCCTGAATTTCCCAATAATCCTGTGAAATATTTGACACATCCATTGTTAGACACATTTTTGTGATGAGTAAACTAGGGCTCAGAGATTCAGTGTCTTGTTCATAGTTGTTCAGAGATATAGATAAGACTAGGTTCCCACCCTCCACTTGATCTGGTATTCTACTTCATGTTCATACTGATGTACTTAACAGGCATTCTAAGCAGCTACTTTATGCGAAGAATTCTACCAGAAGCTGTGGGAATTGGATATCGCTGAATGAGATAAGCCCCTCCCTACACAGGACTTGATCACCATAGAAGGGGCATAGAAGCAAGCCTAGAAATTATACAGTACAGGCAGAGGAAGGGAGAGGAGAAGTCATGGGAAGAAGAGGGACATGTTCACAACTCAAGCAGTGCTCTTTTCCCTTAAGAATAACAATGGAAGAAGCTTGAGAGCGTCTATTCATTGACAGGAAATAAACACATTTCTTGTGAATTATCCCAATCACATATGCCATTTCTATCAGGCCATGTCTCCACACTCATAGTGAAAAAACCTGCAGGATTGGTCAGGCTGTACAACCCACTATTTCAATAAAAAGAGGTTCTTCAGTCAGGCATTTAGATACTCCTGAATTCTATCAAAATTATGGCAGAAAAAGGAAGACTTTACATGTTTAAAACTAAATCCTTTTTGCATTAGGTTTTGGTTGTAAATATTTAAGTCTAGGGTTTCTGAGAGCACTTTTCTTTCCACTCTGTGTTTCCAGCTTGATTGGATGGGAAGGGCATTTCTTGTATCCTTACGCTGTCTCTTATCACTGTTTTATGATGGGATAGGCTGTTTGGAGCATTGGGAAACCTATATGTGTTTGGGTTGGGGTGGCAGATGAAAGTGACACTTGGATAAGGCAGAAAGGTTGTATCATTGAAGAAGCATTTGGAGACTGGACTCAAAGAAACGGTGGCAACAACAAAGCAGAGCCCTTTCCCTCTACTTTTGCTGCAAGAGGCTACTGTGCATGCCAACTCCAAAGATGAGGCACTTGAAAGATTTTTCTGGGTCAACAGGCATTTTTCCTGTTCCTAGTACCCTATTCATTACCACAGGCTAACAAGATGGCAGAGGTCATATAGGACTGACAGAAGCTTCAGGAAGTATCCAGGAGAGTGGTTGGTAATATAATTTTCCCTGTGGCTGATATTCTGGCCATAGATGAAAAAATATCTTTAATCAGTCTGGCATTTTCCAGTCTGTGTGTGCTGGCATTTTGGGCAGCAAGACGATTATCAGATGGCCTTGGCACACTGTGACCTCTCATTCAGATGTCAGCAGCCAGGCAGATACAGTCTCAGACCCATGAGGAGGAGCTGACTGGGTTGGCCACCAACAAGTACACTGCTGTCCGTACTAAGTGAATGATGCCACCAGTCTATTCTGAGCTAGAAAACAAGGATGAAACCTCTCAGGTGACTCAGACAGCAGGTAAAAGGAGAGAAAGGAGGGTGAGATTGAGAAAGACCAGGACATAATGAGTTGCCCAGTGGAGTAAAAGTAATCAACTAGTTGGTGAACTGTCTTATGGAACACTTAAAGTATATTCTGACAGATTTAATCAAATGCTCTAAATCTGGCCAGGGCCCAAATTCTTCTAGATACAAAAATGAAATTTCATGGGCTCCCTTTTCATTACCACTGTCTTGAATTTACTTAATCATTCTGTCATGCAAAGTTTAGACCAAACCCCTCCATATTTAACAAAAGTTATCCCTGTAACATGGATTCTCCAGGAGGGGGGCTCCTGCTGAAAAACAATGTTCTCCACTCCTGTGTGTCAGAGATCAGCAAACTTTATCTGCAAAAGGCCAAATAGTAAGTATTTGAGCTTTCAAGCCATGTGGTTTCTGTTGCAAGTTCTAGATTCTGCCTAGTAGCATGAAAGCAACCACAGACAACACATAAACAAATGAATGTTCCTGTGAAACTTTATTTATCCATGCACCAATAAAACTTTATTTATGGACAATGGAAAAGTAGGCAATCTAAATTCATATAATTTTCATGTCATGATTGTTTTTATTCTTTTGGTTTTTATTTCCAAATACTCAAAATCATGAAAACCTTTTTTTAGCCCACAGGCCATATGAAAACTAGTGGTCAATGAGATGACCAGATGTGGTCTTCGGGCTGCAGCATATATGGAAGGAGAAAAACCTTCCCTTTCCTAGAAGAAAGCAAACTACTATCTCAGTCTTTTCATCAACAACTTAATAGTCTTTGCTTCCAAATTGAACAGAAAGAGAACTCCATAGTTCTTCATTAACTGCTTTTAGAAGTTCATGCTCCAGGAGAAACAAAAACAAAACAAAACAAAAACACTTATTATTTTTGAACTGACAAATTCAGATGAATATTCCTAAGGGTTGAAGGCCTTGGATCCAAGGTACTTACTACTACTGAGCACTAACTCCACTGAGGCAAATGTTAACTCCCCAGGCCGAGCATCTTCCCAGCACGGCTGAGCACATGAGGATTTCTAAGCAGGAGTGTTCATTATCTCAGACTGATTTTCATTTCAGCTCTGCGCATGCCATGGATCTAAAAATGATCCTAAAGACTTGTGACTGTTCGAATCAATAGCAACATAATCAGCCAAGAGCACAAGCCAGCACACTTTAAAATTAGCAGTTTTCTTGGCTCTATGACTCAATATTAGCAGGAGGAAGAAAAGCAGCATTTTTTTCTTAATCATTGTCTCATTTAAATTAACCAAATAGGTTTTACCAAAAAGTAAGGGAGTATGTCTAATTCTTTGAAAGAATTTGTCAGTAGAAAGTACATGATGTTCACATATAATAATCTTCTGGCCTCTGGGACTCCTAAGCCTCCTGCAATGTGCCCTGGCAGGCTGGGGATGGCACACCATTCTCTATCTGCATCCGGCATTTATCAAGGCTGACAAGCCAAAGCCCTTGGCACAATTTAATTTTCATGTAACCACTTTCCGTTGTCCAGCTAAAGGCAAAGGAAATGAGCAGTGAAAGTTTTGAAGTCTACTCCAGCATCCTCATTTCCCTGACTTGATTTGTTTTACTTCATGAATTTATTCTATATCTGCTCCACAGATCTTGCTATAGTTTTCCTTTGGGAACCAACTGGAAAAGGAGAGTTGGCTTTACAGGGTCTGCAGATTAGGAGCCAAGCTTCACTTTGTCCCAGGGAGATGAATGAGACAGAAGTTACCTCCACCAGCACCCCAGAAAGCAATCAGACAGTTCTTGTATGCAGTCAGTGAACAGATGGGAGTCTGTGTTTGCAGCCACGTTCGATGTCATTCAGCAAGTCCTTACTGGGCACCCGCGTGTGCTCCAGGCGTCCTGCCAGGAACGAGGGAGGGAGAGCAAATGATACAGAGCCCAGCCTATGAGGATCTCTTGGTCTTGTGAGCTGTGAGGATCTTTTCTTCTCAGAGCTGGAGGCTGTCCACAAGCAGTCAGGACTGCTAAGGGGGAAAAGTTTGAGGTTGAGGAGATGGGATAACTTATCTAATCAGTGATTCCAAGGATACTGATACTCCTTACTGAGGCAGACTGAGGAGAGCTCTAGAGATGTGAGTAATGTTTCCCTCCATTTCCCCTAATGGTACCCAAGCCTGATTCAGTTCACATGTAGAAAGGAGCCGGTCTCCTACCCACTGAGAAGAAGAAACATGATTGATGACTGAGCCAGAGGAAGTTCTTAAATAAGAATAGCAGCCAGGCAGACCTTGCAAGTTAGGGTGATCCAGGTAGGGAGTGCTAATGTCAGTCAAGATTAAAGGCTTGACCTGGCTGATATGAAGCAACCCTCAGAGCTGACAGGTGAAAGGAGATCTACTCTGGAGGACTTGTAGATGCTGCAGAGCTGTGATTCTCCAGGTGTGGTCTGAGAACCAGTGAGAAACACAGATTCACAAAGCCCACTCCAGACCTACTGAATCAGAGAGGAGGTGAGGGTCCAGGAATTTTTCCTTTAATGAGGTTCTGAGGCATGCTGAAGTTTGAGAACCATTAATATGGAGGATGAGAATGGCTTAATCTGCATTAGGAGGAGCTGCTATTAACAAAGAAGGTAAAATAACCAATCACTGGTACAGTAATGGCAAATCGGAGTAGGGGGTTAGCAGAACACACATCACCAACTCTACCACGAGGGCTTTCTTGACTCCAGTTTATACTCATGGAGCACTGGTTTCAGGGAGCATTGGTCTTAGTTCTAATCCCTCTCCTCTCTTCAAGTATGAAACAATTCTTACCCATGTTCCCTTTCTGTCCTAGAAGGAAACATCCCAGGAGAGGTTTTAGTGAGGCCACTTACACCTAGGGAGGCCACCTGCCAATCTCCTGTCCACTGAGCAGGCACCTTAAAGGCTGTATTGAATGGAGAAATAACATTGCAGCTATGACCCAAGACCACAAGAGGGACTGCTTTGCTCAAATCCTGTGTGCTAGTGATGCATTGAGAGGACCTGGTAGAACCTGGTAGAGAGTGAACAGGGTCATTCAAGGACACTGCCAGGATATCACAGCACTGTCCATTTGTAATGGGACTTGGGACACGAAGCATCACAATTCAAACACTAAATTAGATGGGGAATAGATAGCTTTTCTTGAAAAAGCAATAATTCATGTTACTAAAAGTAGAAAACCAATAACCAAAAACAAAACTGCAGCTTTATCTACAATGTGAGTCTGTCTAGACACCCTCATTTTCAAGGCCTATATAAGTGCCAGGTGCCGCCAATGCCTGATCTCCAACCTACCAGATGCCCGAGGTCTGCCAATCACTAATTTATGGCTTAAACTCTGTGAAGGTCCAAAAACCTGTGGGAAGAACTCATTAGTGCTTTATTAGTCATTTTCACTTAACTGTGGTTCCCAATCTGTCCAGAGCACAGAGGAAGGACAGATGGGGAAAGAGTGCAGCATGTGGTCCAGGAGAACCTTGCTGTCAAGTTCCTACAAACCCAGATGCTGTCCTGCTCAAAGACACATCTGGTTGTCCCAGCAGTCTCCTCAGTGAATGCCCCAAATACCCCAGGGGAAACCTCCATTTCTCCAGCCCAGCTTGGAAAAATGACTTCTGATCAGATGCCCAGCCAATCTCCTGAGACCAACACAGGAATCATATTGAGAACAACTCATTTCAAGAAGTTAGAATCTGCTGAAAGAGAAGGAAGGAAGGAAGGAAGGAAGGAAGGAAAGAGAGAAGGAAAGAGAGAGAGAAAGAAAGAAAGAAAAGAAAAAGAAAGAAAGGAGAAAAAGAGAAAGACTTGCTAGACATTTGCCTCTGAGAAAGCATAGCAGAAACCAGATAGAGTTTTTCTTTACAGTCCAGCCTCCCTGAGTGAATTCTCTGGTGACGTATTTCTCTTCCAAGACTTAAAACAATTTTGTGCATTCATCTTAGTCACTTATTGCAAAAGCCTCCTATGGGACAACATGGCAAATGATGGGGAGGCAGTTCTGGAAGTGGGCTGAGCCCTGTTCTTGTTGGCAGATCTGCACTGGAGTTGGGTTAGGCAGGGTGGAGAGACATTGTGGCCTGAGGGTCAGGAACTCAGATCCAGCCAGGACCCCAAGTGGGTAGTGGGGGCATTCATGGGAAGGCAGAGCAGAGATGAGTCATAATGTGGATCAGCAGGCAGGCATGAGCAGCCACTTACACTTCATCTGTCAGAAACAGGGGAGAGAACTTCATCCTATTACCAGGCTAGGTGTCTCCTGGATCCTGCCTAGAGCAGTCCTCTCATTCTGAAGAGCAGAGAGGAGCTGGCACCTCTGCACTATCACCACAGCAGGGCCCCACTCCACAAGATCTTTGAGCTGAATGAAATGAATCACAGTTCTTCCTTCCCACCTGCCTGATGGGGCCCCTGAAAAACATGGTCCTGTGAGTGAGGCTAGCATGGATGCTCAACACTCTCCATCTCTGCTTGTCACCTCCCCAAAGCAAAAATAATAATTAATCTATCCCAACATTCTCGGTGCCAAGCACAGCACCTGGCCCATAGCATAGGCTCCACAAACATTGGATTGGATGGACTCTCAGAGATCATTTGACTTCCAAGAATTGACTTGGTTTGAAAACTTAGGATATCTTAATGGAAAAAGACTCTTCATCCTCTCTCTTCTGCCCTCTCCCCTCTCCCGTTTCCCCTCTTCTCTCTCTCTCCCTCTCTCTCTCTCTCTCTCTCTCTCTCTCTGTAAGTCAAGATTCTTTATAAAATCACCAGGGATTGAGTTCAATGGCGCCGCGCCTGCTACTGAAAAAAAAAAATTCTTTATAAAATCATATGGAGGAGGAAAGAAAATGCAGTTGACAGATGACAAAATTTCTTCTCTTCAAATGGAAGGAGGATAGGAGTGTGCTTGTTGGGAAAGTGGCCCCACCTAGCTATGAGCAGGAAAGGAATCTGCTAAGAAGCAAGGATACACAGGCCTTGATGAGCTCTGCTCCACTCTAAGGGTCATGGGCAGCATCCCAGCTGAAGAAAGAATGCCTTAATTTGTTAAAGACCCCAGACCCATACTGCTCTCCAGTCCCTTTTATCAGATTTACTGCAGAGGAGATTCATCAACATGAAGCTCAGTTAGCCATAGTCTAACGAAAAAAGACCAACAGACTTGAGAGGGGCCAGAACACAGGCATTGTATATTAATCACCGACAACAGGGACATGTTGGCTTTAATGTCTTTTTCCCTCTATCCTGAAATGCATCTTTGTTACCTGGACCCTTTTCACTGAGTATTTGAGAACAGAAAAAGGACACACACACACACATACACACACACACACACACACACACACACACAAATATTGGGGATTTTTTTTCTCCAGTAGAAAGAGAGCTGTCAGCAAAATGAACCCTTCTATTCGCAGAAGTAGAAAACCAACCCACAGGTCTCAGCCACAGACTCCAACACCCCTATGGGAAAGGGCAGGGAAGGCATGCAGAAGCAGCCTCTGCCCTATGGAAGGATTCCTTAGGCCCTTGGGCATGAGGGGCTGGTTTGTGCCTTTGGAGCACAGATAAAAGTATGATGTGTACATACATCTTTGGAGGCCAGAGACAACATGAAGCACAATGATCTGGCACCCATCCCCACCCAACCCCCAGCTCCCTTATGTATCTACCGAGGAGCCAATGGCATGTAGGATTCAAAAGAGCCACACTTTAGGTGGTAGAAATAAGGCAAAAGTTTCTGGAGGGGAGGCAGTTAGAGAGGACACCTAGTGCCGATCACTCAAAGAGTAATAGAAGAGATAAGGAAGGAGAAGGTAACTCAGAGTTTGAAAGGGAATGGGAAAATTGGATAGGAGTGGCAACAACAGAAACAGCTCATCACTTAGGGAGCTAGACTACAGCTCTATATTTAAAGCATTACTCAAAGTTTCAAATAAATTATGGATAAATCTGGTTATATGGCCACAGTAGGAGTCACACCAATTGGAAGGTGATTTCAGTTCTCACTTGAGCTAGTCATGATGGATCAATCCACCTGATTGCTTTCAGCCTGACCCCAGTGGCTTCCAAAAAAGGTTATTGATGCCTAGAGCTGGACAGGCCTGACAGAAGATTGGGGAAATCCAGTTGGTGAGTTTGGAAAAGAAATTGTAGGTAGGGTTTGGTTGTTTTCCAGGAAATCTATAGATATTCAAGTTGGGTTTGTTGTTGTATTGGCATAGACATTATAATGTGTGCAAGAAGGACAGTCAGAATGATTTGGTAGGACATTAATTAGAGAAATTAAGGTATTAAATATAAAATATCAGAGATAACTAGGATAAGGACAGATGATAATATATATGTGTGTGTACACACATATATGCACATACTTATACATATGTCATATACATATCTATACCACAGAAGTAAGATATGGAATAAAGAGATCAATGGTTCCAAAACATTGTACATTTTTTAGAAGCACTAGATTGGATGTTATATATTTTTCTTCTTGTTATTTGCTTTTAGCTCTCAAAGCATGGAGAACAATGCCTAGGACATAGCAGGAGTTTGATAAACATTTGGAAACGAAGGGTCCAGCTTGTCACTACTTGGTGGAGACTGAGTAATATCGCTGTAGGCCAAAATGAGTGAGCCACAGAGGAGAAGGGCAGCCATGTGCCCCATCTGCTGAGGAGAGCCTTTGTGAATTCAAATTCCATGCATACTCAGCCAGCTGCAGGCACTGGGTCTGTCTCTCTAGTAGTGCACAGGGATGGGATGTTGCACACAGTGGGTATTTGCACACTTAGACCACTTCTGAATAACACCCAACATGCTATTCCTGCAGGATAGGGGTCCAGGGGCTTTCCTCCTATTATCTCTGCCATTTCCTAAACACTTGGCAAAATGCTGTTAAGTTTGTCATTTTTGGGTATTGTTCTGGAACTAAACATAAAGCCTCTAGGTTCAGCCAGTCTACTAGGTCTACGGTTTTCTGATCTCAGCCCTTCCCTCCTCCCATCTCTTTAGATGCCACCACCAGTTAGAAGCCTGATTATCCCTAGATCCTCAACCAAAGTGTGTGGGAAAGGTCTGAGGTAAAGCAGTGTGCTCTCTGCTGCTGGTGCCTCGGTGGTGTTCTCCCAGTAGAGAAGAAGAAGTGGGACCTCATTTTACGGAGTGGCCTCCAGTGACTGCTCCCTCCTGGGAAGCTCCTGCCCATCACTGAAGCGTCTCCCCTTTGGGTGGTTTTCCCTCGGCCTGGGCTCGCGTGAACCTGACACATGGTAACTTCTCAGTTCCTTGAGCTGTCTCAGAAAATGGATCTTTTTAGTCTAGAAAATGTGTTTATTTGCTAAATATACTATCATATGTGTATGAGTGCGATACAATGCAAACTGTGGGATATCTCATTAGAAAGACTATGAATCCATAGAAAATTAAATATACCTTTAGAAGAGCTCTTGTCTTAGCGGACAAGGTGGCCCAGCTGTGGAGCATCAGAAAAAGCGCCCTTCCCCTCCCCACCCCTGGGCACCCTGGGCCCTGCAGAGTGGGGCTACGATACCCAATTCAAACCCAGGCAGTGTGTGGGGGGGGGGTGCTGAGGGGCCACACGTACATACAGATATAGGAAGAAAATAAGAACCATCTAGGAGTCTGTTGAGCTTCTCCCCATGACTGTGATCTTATCCATGTTTGAATCACAAACTTTAAATTTCTAACAATTATGATTCTTGCAGTTTCTGAGTAATTTGTTAAATGCCTATTTAACACAGACAGATATTTATTTTCAGCCTTGGCTTGTAAATGCCTACAAACTGATTCATGTTGGTGATCATTATGACACTTCTGTGAATTGGTGAATAAATATGATTTTAGAATTTCACAGTAAAGATGGCCTCTGAGAGTTTTTATTTTTCGGACGTTTTGATGAGGTAAGATACCAAGAACTGCTTTGAATCAGTACTCTTAAATCCATTCCTGGACAAGAGTGACATGTAGTATGTGACAGTGGTGACATGAAAGACCGGGCCCTATCAAGCCTCAGCAAAGGCACTCTGTTACACCCAGAGTGGCAGCATTTTCACTGGAGACTAGTACAAAGAGAACTCTAATTATACGGGGCATTTAGTGAGCACTTACAAAGTGCGGGTGCGCTGCTTGTGACCTAGTTAATCCTCGAAGTAGATCATTTTTACTATTAACTATGAAAAAATGAGACCCAGAGGACTCCAGAGCACTGTCTGTGGGTAAGTGAGATGGAGCACAGCCTGGCCCCTTCCCTAGCCTGGCCCCTCCTGCTGCTCCAAACTGAACTGTTCTTATATCCAAATCCCGGGGCCACCTTTTCCCTGAAGCCCATGGCTGCCCTCACCATCCATATCTAGTGAAGATTTGGAGTGCTTCCTTCAGATTCTGCATGTTACAGTTACCATGGCCTCTTTCTCCTGGTTCACGGTGGGCCAAGGTTAAGCACTACCCTCTGCTGAGTATCAGAGGTAAGGTGGGAAAATTCAAGAAAGATGTTCTTAGAGGAGTGCTGGGGTCATACAGAAGTCTCTCTGCACATGACATGTTGAACAGCTGCATGGCACAATGGGTGTTCTTGCTTTTCAAACTCCTTTTGGCCACCTTCCCCAGCCTGTGCCATCTGCCCGCCCTCTTGTCTCTCTCCATCCTTCTCAGATGGATGTAAAAATAGTGCTTTTCCCTGTCTCTTGGAATAGCAGCTTTATCAACTTCTCTTCATTTCCTGGTCTCCCGCCAAAACCTAGCCCCATCCTCCTATCCCAAGTGGTTGGTCAAGATCTACTCCTGAGTACACAGATCATTCACATCTGGAGAGGACGTTTTCTGCCTAATGTTAAGACAGCATTATTTATCATGCAGAATGTTTTTCTTTTACATCCCACAGAATCAACAAAAAGCACAAGAAGGCTTGGTGTGTTAAGTAGTCTTTCCATACCTCACCTTGGTAACTTCCATTGGCACACAAACATACACACACACACACACACACACACACACACACACACACACTAATCCTTGGACTTCCCTAGACCTCAAGGTAGTGGCTTACTACCAGACCCTTGACATTTCTTACCACTCTTACTCCCAAAACAATCCAGGCTCATGTTCTTGCTGTCTGTAAAACAAGCTCTTCATTTGCTTTCTGTATCTCTCTTGTTTCTCAAAAATATCCCCTCACTATGTAGTCACCACAGTGACCTCCCTTCCTGCTCTTTGCTCTCAGATTGTATACACCATGAGGCTGACATGGCCAGAGCCCCCCTGAAAGGAACCTCCCACACAGCACGCCATGGAGACTTACACATTCAAAGAAGAGCCCTTGTCTGTAGGGGTTCCCTTGCCCCAGTGGCAAATGAGCTAAACTATTTAATCTGAAAAAGTCCCAATTTGGCTGGTTTGAATATAGCATTTCATATTTGGTTGGCTGGAATATGGGTTCATGACAAACACTGATAAATAATAATAAAAACAAATTTTTAAGTTACAGATCAAAGACCTGGGCTAGGGATAAGTTTTATCATGATCCTAACTGCATTCATTCTCATGTAAAAAGCCAGGGATAAGAAAGAATTCATTTAAATGGATAAAACCTCAAATCCAAAGTCTTCATGACCCACCCCCAGCCTAAGGTTTAATCCTTTTATAGTCCAATTGGCTAGCATGAAGCCCAGGACTTGTTCTCCCAAAGCACCTGGCAGATAGTCCTGTCTCTGTGCTGCTGCCACTACTGCTTCTCTTGCCAGAACAGCATCCATCCTTTCCCACCTTAGGCCATAGAAATCTTATTCCTAAATGAAGGCCCCACTCTGACTTGCAGAACTATTTATCAGAGGAGCCCTGCTTGACTTCCCAATGGAATGTAACCCTACCATGCTCTGTACGCTGAAGCATGCCCTGCATTATTTTTAAGTGCCCCACATGGAAGGGGGAGAAGGCAGGATACAGGACATGTTCTAAAACAAACCCAAACGCCTGCACAGCTAAGGCAGGCAGTGCAAGTGACCACGGCTGTCTGGCTGGCCTAGGATGCAGAGAAAAGTGCATGCTGAGTCCAGAGTGGGAGTTCCTTCTCTGCTTCAGCTCATTGTTCCAGAGCAAGGATGGTTGCCGATTGCCAGATCTTCTGCGTTCTGCTAAGAACAATCAGACACACGTGTTCTCATGTGAAATCTACTAGGTTTTTGTTTGTTTGTTTTTGTTTTTTGGTACCAGGAATCAGACTCAGGGCCTTGCCCTTGCCAAAATCTACTAGTTGTTAAATGTAAGCAGCTAATTCACATTTTATAAACAAATTCTGTGTGGGCCAAATAAAATGTATGGATAGGCTGAGTTCAATACACAGACACATGGCTCTAGATTGTACTACTGTGGACCGGATGACTCTGACTAACCAGAAAAACAAATCATCCCAACTCTTCAATTTGGGTTTTTTGAGCTTGTGGGTGAAGAGTTCTCTTAAATGCCACTGTACAGGGGCAGAAGGACAATGATGAAGAAAGCAAATATTGGTCATGTGAGTTCCCAGTGGTATAGCCAGGTGACCAGGTTTCTGGGCAGTGACATGCTGGTACACAGTCAGCAACCACCTGTGAGAGTGGGGAGGCCAAATCTGTAATACGTGTTGACTCCTGTGGAGTAAGTTCTCCAAGTTACTAAATCTGACTTTACTGCACTCAGAGTTGAAAGAAAAGCTAACCATGCTTTTTGTTGGCCAGATCTGGAATACACCACTATTTATGGGACAAGTCTCAAAAAGAAACCCAAGAGCTCCTTTCAACATGAAGGGATAGAGCTGCCACCTTCCTAGTCTCAGCCTTGCCCTGGGAAGGCTCACAGCGTGCATCAAAGCCTCACCACTCACCAGGTCTGACACTCTGCTACATTCATTCCTGCCTCAAATCCCCAGTAACTGCAAACTCACTTGAGGAGGGGCTGCTGGCTCCATGAAGCTAGGCTTGGTCACTGAAGACTGAGTATGTGGCAGGGGAGGAGCAAGAATGAAGAGTGAGTGCTCTAGGTTGGCTACGTGCCAGAGCCCGGATGGAGGAAAAGACAGCAAGTAACCACGTTGCTTCTCCTCCAGCACCAACCATGCAGCTACCTTCAGGATTTTCAGGATGGAGAAGTGAGACACAGCCAGGGGTCAGGAATGGAGAGGAGTGAAAGGAGCACAGTATTGGGAGATAGGAAATGAGGCCCTTCAGAGAGAAGTCGAGTGCCATCTCAGGTCCCCACCTAAAGGACAGAGAATTCTCAGAAGAGGCCTGACCTGCTGTGCTCCTATGTGCTGACCTTTTGCATACTTTAATGAATCTTAAAATCCTCTCTGGAATCAGCAGGCATATCTGAGACCAAGCTGGACAAGTGTGCAGCTCAGTGGACAAGCAGGTCTCTACAGAAGCCACCCTGCTCATCAGTAGTCTCATGGAGGCCAGCTGGACGAGGCTAAGGAAAAGGATTTATCGGCCTGGCTCTTGTCACCCAAGATTGAGAAGCGTTTGGGTGTGGCTGTGCTTCACTGATGACTGGAAGCCTAGGCCTTGCTGATGTGATGATATATATGTCATAATTCCATGTAACTGTATTTACAGTTGTATATTTCTATATTCTATATTTTGTATTTACAAATAAGATAAAACTATTAGCACTTGCTAAAGGAGCTAATATATATTAGTTACATATGATGTATTAATTATAACTGTACACTTACATTTGTATAATTTGTATATTTTACATATAATGGTATATTATATATAATTATGTGGAATTACTTATTTTCTATCTATATACTATATGTTAGAATATGTTAAATTACAATATTTTATTATACAGTTTTTGTATACTTATATAGTTGTACTTATGTAATCATCTATATTACATTCTTAGAGTAAGTATACATTAATTATAATATACATTATTTATAATATATATTAATACCAGCAAGCTATAATTGTATACATAATCATAACATGTAAACATATATATATATTATATAAATGTAAGTACATATCGGAAAATTATATTAATATAATTGAATTACCTATAGTTACTATGACCATATAATTATATATATACACTATCAATATGTTTATATTTCCATATTATTACTATATATAATTTATTAGAAACCAACTAGGTGCCCCTCATGTCTTGCATATTGGCTGATTCTTCCTGACCAGTTTCCCTACTAGGTGAGATCTGTGCCAGCTGGCAGCTGCCAGGCTTACATCTCTGCTATCCATCAGGAAAGGAAGGGGCTCATTTTCCTCAGTACCAATTGAAGTCTTGGTTAGGCACTGTTTTGGCCAACCTGTCTCAGGATGCTTCCCATGGTGTGCCTGGGACTATGGTCCATGTTGGACAGCCCTCCCTTTGCCTCCTTCCATCCCGTCAGAAGCACGTATGTATTTAGGAGACAAATGAGGAGGAGCATTCATCGAAGAAGACACAGAGAATCTTCACCAGAAGAAAAGGGGTAGGAAGATATGACAAGTGAGTCCCCACCTGTGCTCCAATAATTCCTTGGGTCTGGATATCCTAATGTTTACTGTATGGAGTACACATTCCATAGGCTATTCCTTAACTGATGCTAGTTTTTTAAGTTCCATGATAAAGTCCTGTATTTGAAAATAATGTACTGAACAGTTTTCTTTTACTCCAGGAATCCTCAGAATGCATACTATGAAACATCTAGAGAATATGTGAGTGTTCTTCCAACTAATTTAGCTGTAGAACACTTTACCTCATTAAACACCTTTAGGAGCAGGATTCAATCTAAAATTTTTCTAGAATTATTGCCTTAAGCTGGAGACAAGGGCTTGAAGCCAAGATGCAAGGTTCTTCCTCTTGTCATTATCTCATT